TGGTGGGGGGTTTTGGGGTGGGGGTTAAATGAGGCTTCCTTTCAGTTTTGTATAGAATTTCATTCTTGGTGAAGCCAGTGCTACTTGCAGATGTATTTAAGACACAGAACTCAAGTCTGCAGAATTTGTAAACAGTACCTGCAAGCACCTTGGATTACAACTCTACTTATACAGAATCCATCCTTTCTCATCAACAGAGCCTTCAATCAATGGCTATGACAACCCTGCTTTCCTTTCGAATGAAGTGGTTGCACAAAAGTAGGTTTTCTTTGAGCTGTTTACGATATTTCTGCCTAAAATGACTTCCACTGATCTGTTTTTCCTGCTTGAATCTTTTTAGAAAGAAAAATGCAAAGTCAAAAAAAGAAAAGAAGATGGTTGGATTTTTCCAGTTGGTCAGTATCTAATCTGTGTGTTTTCTCTTTGTCACTTCTATATGAGCCAGTTCACATGTTTTCTCCAGCACACCTACATGTAGTGAGATTAGGGATGAGCCCATACTGGGGAAATAGTGCTTCTTTGGGGTTCATGGTTTGTTTGCTTAAATGAACTATGAACTTACATAAACTTTTCTGTTTCCTGAACTGGTTAGTGGTTTGTTCAATTGGTGAGTTCGGGAGGTGGTAGAATGGCCCTACCCAGAAGTGATCCCTGAAGGTGTTTAATGCCATTGTAGCCCACCACCAGCCCACAACCCCATCCAAGTGAGCTCCAAAGTCATTTAAATACCTTCAAAGCCCACCTCAGGGTTGGGCTGGCCCGACTGAACTCCAAGAGTGGGCTCCAAAGGCCACCCCACTTGACTGAGCTCCCAGAGTGGATTCTGAAGCCTTATATGCCCTTATATAGGCAGGCCCCACCTGGAATTTAAAGGCATTTAAATGCCTTCAGAGTTCACTTGGATGGGGTCACAGGCTAGTGGTGGGCTCAATCAGCATTTAGATACCTTTGGAGCTCACTTCCAGGTGACCTGCCAGACCCGAAAGTAAAGGCATTTATATGCCTTGGGAGCCGAAGAACATGTCTCCCACAAACCTCCATGAAAAAACATGGAGGTTCATGGGTGGATTGTGGGAGACACACTCTCCCAAACCGCTGGTTTGCAAACCATGAACTGGCTTGGTTCATGCTCAAAATGGGATTTATTTGGGGGTTGGTGCCTATCTCTAAGTGAGACCAAAAGCAGCCTCAGATTGACATCTTCCCACCCTGCTTCTATAAATGTACACAGGAAGGTAACCCATGAGAGGTTACATGCTTATCTGAATGTAGGATATCCCTTAAACTTGGCTTTTGAAATGCCTTCCTTCAGAGATCTTGCATGCAAAGAATTATGGGATCTCCTTATTTGTCTGCAAGCAGTGGGGAAAGAATGAAGAAGTACAACATGAGGTCAAATCCCACTCCTGATCCTGCAGAGCATAAGATTTTATTCCTCTCTTTTAAAAAAATGTAATGTGCAAATACCTCTTTTCCCATCATATATACCAATTCAACATGTTCAGTAGTAACTCTGGAATTAAGACTTATATGGTTCTAGCTGGGCCTGGGACTGAATGCTGATCAAGTGAGTGCTCAGCAACCTTGCCCCCACCCCAAAAGGGGAGTAGGCCAGAGGGTACAGTACACTTACAAACTTTGAGCTGGGAAATTCCTGGAGAATTGGGGGTGGAGCCTGGGGAGGGTGAAGTCTGGAACGGGGAGGTAGCTCAGCAGAGATATGATGCCATAGAGTCTGCCCTCCAGGGCTGTCATTTTCTCCAGGTGAACATAATGATGAAGAAGAAGAGTTGGTTTTTATATCCTGCTTTTCTCTACCTTAAGGAGTCTAAGGCCCCGGTCACACGGAGCATTAGGCATGCTAGAGAGACAGAAGATAGGCGGATTTTCCGGGCGCGATCTCACCGCCACATCTGGGAAGTGTAGAGCTCCCGTGGTGCACCCAAGGCTTCCCGCCAAAGATGTGGGGTAAAAAACTAGTACCTTGGAGGTACTAGTTTCTGGAAACCACGGGGCAAAGGCGGGCGTTGCTGTGCGTTTCGGGTGGTAGTCCCCCTCCCCGCCTATGTCCCCTTGCAAAAAGGTTTTTTTCCCCCAAGTCTCCATGGATGCGCACAAGCACCCATCAGAGCATGCACACATTTCAGGGTTTTTTTTTAAAAAAACACAACCCCATTTGCCACGCTGCTTTGCTTCTTTGCCGCGTTGTGTGATTGGCACCTCCCCCCTAACCACGGGAGCTCGACAAGACCTCAACCTGCGCATCACCCGGAAGTGACGTCGCACGCTGGGGGCGGGGCCACGCCATTTGAGGGGGAAACTCTTTGTCACTTCACTTCCGGGTGATGCGCGCGCGGGGGTGGAGTTTCCCCCGGGCCCGATTCCGCGTGGGGTGGAAGTCGGGCCTTGAAAGCGGGGGGAAATCCGCCCCCCGGGGGGATTTGGGAACCCTAGAGGTAGGTGGGGCTGAGAGAGCTCTTTTGGGAACTGCTCTTTCAAGGACAGCTCTGACAGAACTATGGCTTGCCAAAGGTCATCCCAGCAGCTGCAAGAGGGGGAGTGGGGAATCAAACCCAGTTCTTCCAGATTAGAGTCCGTGCACTTAACCACTACACCAAACTGAAAGAACAGGGGAAAGACAAGTACATGTTCCCACCACATTGCATGCCCTCCCCTTCCAGGGCTCAGGCAGCTGGCTCAAGGGTGGCAGGCAGCAGCACCTACCCACCCAGCACCAGGCTCGGGCAGCCTCAGCACATGAGCCGAACTCACTCACAGCTGGCTCAAATGCTGCACTTTGGCCTGGGTTGGCTCTGGTGGAAGGGGTGCCGTGATTCTGGGGTCCCACCCTGGACTTTTGCCCATGGCCCCAGAATCACTAAGATCACCCCAATCAGTATACCTTTATAATAATATAAGTATCTCATTCACTGAACTACCAGTTTTCATTAAAACAGAATAAATCTCTAGCCTCTTTACTTGCAGTGATATGCCATTTACCTTATATCTCCACAACAAAAGTGGCTAGAGACTTACTTTAAAAAAAATGAAAATTGAGAATTCAGAAAACCTGATGTACATATTGGTATAATGGTATATGAATAAAGCACTGTTCACAAGAGGAAAAAAACCCAGGGACATGGAGACTAAATGACTGTTGAAGGGAAAATGGCTGCCAGTGGGTGGGACCAGGAAAATCTGAACTTTACCACACAGGCTTTGGTGTGATATTTCCCTAAACTATAGTGTAAAGTAGGTTTCTTTCCCTTCCCACCCTAAAATTTACCAGGGCTGAATCTTCCCTCTGACTTTCACAGCGTCAGTGTAGCTAACATGCTTTGGTTGACACTTTCCCCCCCTGCTGTCTCCCAGTTTACCTTTCCCTCTCTGAATTCACAGATTTCTATGGCTTATGACAGCCTACAATTCATTCTGTGTTTTGGCATCCCTCACACAGATTCACTCCCCTGCACAATTTAGCTTTTTAACCTATACATTTGCACTTCTGCTATGTGAAGCTTAGTGATCTTTATTGTATCTAATCTTTTGTAATACCATCTTAGTTACCTTTCCCTCAATTTTTTCATTATTTGAATGTTTGGACTTTCTCAGGCTGCTTAAATACATGACTATGGCCCCAGTCACACGGGCCGGATATCGCGGGGGGGAGGTGTGGCTAATTGACCCGGAGGAAACTAACGTGCGGCTGCCTGAGCACATGTCCCGGTCGAGGTCCTGTGGTTCAGGGGAAATGCCGATCAGACGGGTATCCTGCAGCACGGCACAGAAGCCACGCCGCGTGATCGCACTAGCAATCAATCTTTGTGCACATGCGCTGTTGGGCGCTGTTGTGCAACCTGCAGAGACGAACAGCGGCGGGTGCCGGATGCCACATAAGTCCACCGGGAACGTGATCAGACGCCCACCCTTGGCCCACGGTTTCAGGAAACTAGTACCTCGTAGGTACTCGTTTTTAACTCCGCATCTTTGGTGGGGAGCCACGGGTTCACCACGGGAGCACTGTGCTTCCCAGATGTTGGGGTGAGATCACGCCTGGAAAATCCGTGGGACTCCCGTGCCTCTCCCGTGGCAACTTTGCCATGTGACCGGGGCCTATGGTATTCTGGCACAATTTCTTCTGTATTTTACAGGTTTCTCTTTATATTGATTTAGTTCAGTTTTGCAGACTCGCTAGATATTCTTTTAATGCTAGTGGGCGTTATCACAGCTGCGGCAGTTGGAATAGGACAGCCAGCCGTTATCATTATTTTTGGACAGATCACAAACAGCTTTCTGACAACTGGCCAAAATGTGTCTACAGGTAAGTCACTAAACTTACCCAAATACTTTTCAAGATTCTGAATTCCTAGACTTCTACCTGAAAATACAGTTGGAGGAAGGAAGGCTTTAGGATATTGGCCCATGTCTAAAAAGTCTCAGTATGATACCCTTCACACATTCAAAGAAGTTAGCTGTGACTCTTGACTGTTTATATTGAAATAAATGTAGTTAGGCTTTAAGGTGCCACTGGAGTTTTATTTTGCTACAACAGATTAACACTGCAATAATTATTGTTGACCTCTTTTTCTTAAAGGGAAATCTTCATTCAATTTAGTAAAGGGCTGCTTTAGAGAAGGTTGCAAAGCATGTGCAGAAGATTCCTCATGGGCATATGATCAGCTACTATGAAAGTTGTATCTGATCCAAAAGTTCCAAACCCTATGCACTTAAACCTGTGGCTCTCCCATATTTTTTCCAGAATCCTAAGTGGTAGCCTCCATGCATTGATTTTTTTTTTAAACCCACATGGGGCCCAACCCTTGGCTATTAGATATAGTGATGGTTTTTCTACAATTGCAGAACCATGTAAAAATGCCACGATGGCATTGTATCTGAAAACAGTTTTCAATACATTTTTCAGTTATACTGTTTCTGCCATTTGCTTTATAGACAGGAATGATTCAGAGTGTCCAGCAGGTGCAACGGGTATAGAAGCCCAGATGACCACGTAAGTTCCCATACAGTTATTATTTTGAGAAGTTATAATGTTATCTTGCTGTCAAGGCAAATTTTGCTTTTGTCTTTGTGTATGATTGCAGTCACACTATTTTTTTCAGTATACAAATGTGTTCAACAGGATGCTGCTCATTTTAGCTATTAATGTCTCCATCAGGTTTGCTTCCTACTATGTTGGACTTGGCTTTGGTGTGTTGATTCTTAGCACCATTCAGGTCTGGACCTTTATTACCAGTGCTGCAAGACAAACAGGAAGGATACGCGATAAATTCTTTTTTGCTGTTCTTCACCAAGAGATGGCCTGGTTTGATACCATCCAGATTGGAACATTGAATACCAGACTTACTGAGTAAGAAGTCTCTGTTCTTCTGTTGGGGATGGGGGATGGAAGGAGGTCAATGTCTTCTGTTTCAAGGATACCCAGCCAAATTTTGTGGGTCTGTCTGCCAAATCCAGCTAGAGGCTGGAATCGCATAAAAGGTGGTTACTACTCCTATATGACTAAATTGTTGGTGAGCTGCATGGGTTGTGTGTGCGCTTTCCCATTCTGATCTAACAGCTAGAGTTATGCACGTGGATCACTTTTGAAGTGGTAAAAATTCTGCCAAGAGAAAACAAAAGGGCTACATCAATCACTGAGTTCTAAAAAGGGGGGGGGACACTGATGGACACACTGAATTCTTGCAGGTCTCAGTTATCCCATTAATTTCAACAGAAACCTGAATTATGCATAGAAGAATGTGTTCATGGAGTCTTCCTTTTACTAAAATTAAAGGTGACTATTCTAGTGAGGTGAGGGTACCTCTACGTATGCTCTAGACTTCCAGTACTCATAGGAAATCACTAAATTGAGGTGCACATCTTATCATTTGACAGGTTTTTGAAACCTGTAATCTACAATGGTAATTATTTGGGATTGGGGAAGTTTGGTGAGACATAGTTTGTTTGTGCTCCATTCCAGTATCACTCTAAAGGTTCAAATGCAGTGAATGTGTCTGTCTTTTTTTTAAAAAAAGAAGTTATGGTGCTGGCCAAATGATGCATATGCATATGTATGTCAACTATAGGAGCGTCCTTATTTAACATGTCAGGAACCCATACACAGATGCAGCCAGGGCAATTATTATTGGGGCCTTCTGCCAGATGTATACCAGCATCCAATATTTTATCCAGTGCCTCATATAAGTGTGCAGAGTCTTAGAAATTAAGAAAACTAATAGCCAAGGGAATTAGCAAACCGAACACGAAGATACACAGAGACTAGCCTAAACAAGTTACTAATATAAAGAAGGATAAGGTGGGGAGATACAGAGGAAGAAAACATATTAATCTGTCCACTGAGTGGAATCCAAGGAAAAAGTAGTGTTGGTGAGAGCAGGGTGGAAGAGCGAAAAGAGCACAGTCTTCAGGGGTTGCCTGCATTGGACAGCAGGGCCAAAGCAGAATCACATACATATTCCCACTGTGCACTCCCAGATGGGGCTTTGGCACTAGTTGAAGGAGTCTAGTATTGAGATGGGACCCTACAGGAGGAGAAGGAGAAAGAGGTTTTAGATATATACTCCAACCTTCACTCAAAGTCTCAGAGTGGATGGAGCACAGTCTTCAGGGGTTGCCTGCATTGGACAGCAGGGCCAAAGCAGAATCACATACATATTCCCACTGTGCACTCCCAGATGGGGCTTTGGCACTAGTTGAAGGAGTCTAGTATTGAGATGGGACCCTACAGGAGGAGAAGGAGAAAGAGGTTTTAGATATATACTCCAACCTTCACTCAAAGTCTCAGAGTGGATTACAATCTCTTTTCCCTTCCCCTCCCCACAACAGATGCCCTGTGAGGTAGGTGGGGCTGAGAGAGCTCTCTCGATGACTGCTCATGAGAGAACAGCTCTGAGAGAACTTGTGACTGACCCAAGGTCATCCAGCAGCTGCGTGTGGAGGAGTGGGGAATCAGACCTGGTTCTCCCAGATTAGAGTAACCACTGCACCAAGCTGGCTCTCTGTTGAACAGCTAGAACAAAGTGTTGGGGTTCTCAGGGCTCCCTTTATATTACTTTAGAATGATGAAGAGTTGAATGGATGTGAGTGAATGTGTCCATTTCCAAGCAAATTTTCAATTACTTTTCTTTCTCCCTTTGAAGTAGATGATTGGCTTCATTGCTCTAAGATTGCCCTTCTGCCTCTTAGATTAAAGGGATACATACCTTCCTAATATTCCAAAACTTGGGCGAGGCCAAATTAAGAAATAAATAAAAAGAAGTCTGGAGGATCTATGGAGGGTCCCAGTTACATACAGGGATGCTGATCTGAGATCTTACTCTCTGGTGATAGTAGTATACAGTGAAAAATAGAAGTAGCATACCATTTTCCTATTTTGATGTTGAGTTCTGTTTCCATACACACTGTTGTCTTCCAACTTGCTGGTAAGTCCCTGTGGCTCTCTGTATAAAGAGAGCTGATCTGTTGCTTCAGTCTCATTTTTTGTTTCCTAAGATGCCTCCAGAAAAAAAAGAAAAGAGAAACTAGGTTGGTAGGTGATGGTGTTCCTCCAGTAATAATCAGACTTTCTGCATGTGATATGGCACATTTATTATGTCTTAGAGCTTTAGTAAATGTGATGAGACTCTCAGAAGAAAGATGATGTTCATATGGTTATGTATTGTAAATGAGTGTGGGTCTTGAAGAAGATGGAATGAAATATGTTAGACTTGAGAGACTTACCAGACTAATTTTGTGACCACACTAAAAAAAAGCTCCATAGTATTTAAATCCACTTTGGCTGCAGTCAGATGTGTCATTTGCAGTTCCAGGTTGTATTCGGGATGGGGCAGCTTGGCCAGCCTTATACTGCCCTGTTCAAATGACCACTCACACACAGGTTCTTTGGAAATTGCCGATGGAACGGGGTGAGGACGGCGAGTGCCCTGGGTCATGTATACCCAGGCCTCTCCCTCCGGCCACCCCGCTGCCTGGCGATTGGCCTGGGGAGGGAGGGGAGGCGCCTACCTTCCCACCACTCGCCTGCCCCCCCCGACCTGACAACTGGCCAGCCACTTCCTTTCCCGCCCGGCCCCGCAAATGGTGGGCCTCGCCTACCCGGGCCCTTTGTGCTTGGTGCTGTTGGGAAGCGCTCCTATTTCATATTTGAAACTGAGTCGCTCGATCAGACATCGCAATATAATCTGTTTTGCTGCAGGCTCAGCCCATCACTGCACAATCAGACAGCATGGACAGGGAGGGTTTTATTATTATTTTTGCCTGCTTTGTGCATGTGCATAAATGAAGGTACAGTTTTTTGCACATCCATTTTCCAACTACCGGGAGTCAAGTCTCAGCTTTGACCACTCGCCGTTCCTTCCATGGAGCTCTGTGATTTCTTTGGTTCACAATGAGCCATGATGGCCTGACAAAGATCGCTCCCTTTTCTTCTCATTTACAAAGCTGGCCTAGAGAAGGAGATGATTATGTGGTTATGTGCATATCGCTAAGTGAGCAAAAAAAATGGCGCCCAGTCGGGATGGAATGAGCAAACCATCCCGACAGCCTGAGGGCACACTTGAGTGATTAGACCAAGGAAACTCCATCTGTGGCCCAACAGCAAACATTACAACTGGACTTTCTCAGGTGTCTTTTACTCCACTTCAGGTGCGGACCAGGACAGGCTGCTGATGACTGCAGAACCTTTCACAGATGTTGCTTTCTGACCGTGCACTTTAGATTCATCAGGCATCAGCTTTGAAGTCAGATCTAAAGGCACATCTGACCACAGCCTTTCTTAACTATAGTGAACTTAGCACTATTATATTACACCAGAAAAGTACGTGATTAAAAGCATCCACTATCATCAGTAATTTTTTCTTCTTTAATTGCAGGGATATTAATACGATTCAAGAAGGCATTGGAGACAAGATCAGTTTAATAGTCCAGTTTTCTTCCACTTTTGTGGCAGGGATTATCATAGGATTTGTGCACGGATGGAAGCTTACTCTTGTGATTTTGGCAGTTAGCCCTCTTCTTGTTTTGTCTGGGGCTGTGTGGTCATACGTAAGTTACTAAAGCTACTAATGATAATTCATTAAGTTAACACCATCTAAGTTCATTGTGCTGTGTTTTATTTTAAGAGAATGTAATGTCATTTTTTAGCATACACATTTTTAAAGAGACTGTTTAGTCAGTCATTTTACTAAAATCCATGTAATCACTTTTGGTATAGAAAGTTAATCAGGAGATGGTTATTTCTCTGCACAGGGAATTACATGTACAGCCAATCTCATAAACGTCAAAATGGGGCTTATGCAGTGCTAGAATTAAGGCATATCAACAAAAGACATTTCCAGTTTCTGAGCACATGCAGTAACTTTATTCGTATATAGAGAACTAACATTCTCTAACCTTTAGTCATTTTCCTTTACATTTTCTAGCTTCTATCCCATTTAACTATTAAAGAGTTGACAGCTTATGCTAAAGCAGGTGCTGTTGCAGAAGAAATCTTGTCTGCCATCAGAACTGTTACGGCTTTTAATGGACAGAAGAAAGCTACTGCAAGGTAAAATTATGTGGGTACATATGTGTGTACAACGGCTGCATAAATGTAAGCAAAAAAAACCCAAACCCCTGTGTAGAAGCTTAGATTTTACCCTCTATCTCCAGAAGCTGAATGAAGCATTCCCTAAGGGCAGTGGAGTTTAGTAAGTGAATGCATCCCTGCCAGCCAGCATATAAATGTAATCTTTCAGGGTAGACTTGCCTATTACATATTCAGGCTTATGTAGTAAGGATTACACAATAGCCTTATGGAAGTGTGTGCTTCTTCCCCATTGATGGGAATCTCTGGCACATCAAGTATAGGCTTCTTTGTAGTAGTTGGTAGAAATATTAATAAAACTGTTTCAATTGCCATGGATGTATGAGTTCACTTAGCTGTTTTATGTCAGATAAGCATTTAAAAGATACCTCCATATTACTAATCTGGAGGCTCAGATATATTCACACAGCATGTCAGATCCCTGTGGGCAAAGTTTACCATAACTCACATTGTGTGTTCATCCACGTGGTTAGTAGTAACAAAAATAAAAGTAGCATGGAGTGTACAAGTTGAGCATCTTGCAGCCTTCATCACCGGCAGTGTTGTACTTTACTGCACACTTACTGTGAAAAAAAAGCAATCCATGTATTCAGAGAGGGGAAATATGACGTGATTCAAGCTGCTCAAAGATGTTACATGATTTTTAAAAAAGGGGGAAAATGTTTGTCAAAGTGTAATTGTAGAACCAGAAGTCAAAGCAAACATTTGAATACTAACATTTTGGGTCTGTTTTTAGGTATGATGCAAACTTGGAGGAAGCTAGGATTGTTGGAATGAAAAAAGCCATCGCCACCAATGCTTCTTTGGGCATCACCCAGTTCCTTATCTATGCGTGCTATGCACTTGCCTTTTGGTACGGAACTAAACTCGTAGAGGATGAGCCAAATACATATAACATTGGGACAGTGCTAATTGTAAGTTTAAAATATGGTCTAAGGATTCCAGACACAAGTAGAAGTTTCATTTAGACTTGAAGGTTAAGGACCCAGCCTACAGAGGCATTCCTGACAGGCTCTGCTCAGTACTTTATGTCCAACTGTTTGTTGAATATTGAAATGGACATTCCTTAAAGAAAAGCATAGTTAACTAAACCAGAAGCTCTGCATAGTTATAATGAAAGAGAGAGGTGTAGAGAAAGTGAACAGGGAGAAGCTTTTCTCACTCTCCCCAAAATACCGGAACCCAGGGTCATCCCACTGAAGCTGAAGGGTGGGAAGTCAGGACAGACAAAAGCAAGTACTTCTTCACACAGCACAGCATAGTTAATTTGCAGAACTCACTGCCACAGGATGTGGTTATGGCTGCCAACTTGGAAGGCTTTAAAACCAGATTGAACAAATTCACTGAGACTATCAAATAGCTCCTAGCTGCAATGGATTTCTATTCCCTCCAGTACCAGAAGCAGTATGCCTTTTTGTATCCATGGCTGGGGAGCACAGGAAGGAAGATGCTGTTACAGTTGTGGACTTCCTAGAGGCACCTGATTGGCCAATGAGTGAACAGAATGCTGGGCTAGGTGGACCTTTGGTTTGATCCAGCATGGCTCTTCTTACATTCTTAAATAAATAACCATGCCATGTACTGTTGTTAGGTGGAAATTAATTGTACTGTAAATAAAAACCCCAATGTATCCATAGCTACCATGTTAAGAACTGGTTCACACATGTATATGACATAGTAATGAAGTAGTAGAACCCTGAAGTGAAAAAAGGACTTCACTGCTGCGTGTGAAGGTTCTTTTGCATAAAAAGTTCTCTGCAGAGAGAAAATTAGTACAGTAGTTCTATCCACCATTCTTTTCTGGTGCTGGTTGCCTTTTGCAAAGAGTTCTATATGCCAAGTCCACTCTGCTACCCCAGAAGATCTTTGTTGTCTTTCTGTCATGAAGCTTCTTGGCATATATGGACCAGGCCTAATTCTCTCCAGTTTCTCCCTTTTAAGGTTTTCAGAGAAAAGATAATATATAACTGGATTGAAAGGAGATACAAACCTGCTGAAGAAAATTGAATGCCACCTTGTTTGTTCTCTTTTGTCTTTTTCTTTAGGAAACATTTTTGGATTCATAACTGAATTACTGCATTAACTGATGGCAAATCATATATAATTTTCTCCCTGTAGGTATTCTTTTCTGTGCTGATTGGCGTATTTTCCATTGGACAAGCTTCTCCAAATCTAGAGAGCCTGGCAAATGCTCGTGGAGCGGCCTATGAGGTCTATAAAATTATCAATAAGGTATTTATTGGCCAAAATACATCACATGTTTTTGGCACATTGCAGAAGCAATATGCATACTAAAAGAAATGGAGCAAAGTTTTGATAACAGTGATTACTCTGGGCATCTAGAAGCACATTCTTGAATCCATAAGGAGTTATGCTCTTTCCCTGAATGTGGATAGACATTTTCCACCTACCAAACTGAATAAAATCTCTAAGGGGACATCAGGAGATTCTCTCTGACCAGTAGGAACATTTATAATCTGACTGCCAAGCATGTATGTGTGTCTTCTGTTTTGCCAGTGGTATAACTTTTATTATGTTCCAACAGTTTTGTATTATTACAATGTATGCCTCCCTTTATATAAGAAAGGTGTTAATATCTCTTACCTCCTTTAACCACCTTGCAGTGCTCAGTTGCTAAAAGGAGTGTTGTTCTTTTCAGGATAACTTAAACATGACCTAGGTGAAAGTGATGGGGGAGATATGAAATAGGGAGAGCTAAGTGAGTCACATGGGGATTGTACTCTCCACTCATCCTCTTTTATTTATTTATTTTAAAATCCCTCATTCTTTAAACGCAAGCTGTCATGACACACATATGTCAAGATCCAGTGTTGTGAAGTGATTACAGTTTCCAACTAAATCCTGGGAGGTGCAAGTTTAAAGCCTTAACAGTGAAGCCTATTGAGTGACCTTTGGCCACTGTCTCTCATCCTGCACCTAACGCATAAGGTTGTTGTAGCACTAAAATGGGAAGAGAAGAAAGCCATATATGAGCTTCTTGGAGGAACGGCAGGATGAAAGTAGGTTGACAGACATATAATGAAAATCGCTTCTTGGAGGAACGGCAGTCTGTACTTCAGTTGGGTCAAATCTGTACTTTAGATGGAGCAAATCTGTGCTTTAGATGTCGTATACCCACTCCCACACCCTGGATACAACCCGGATTGTAACTTACTTGCAAATGTCTTTCTAGCCCCGTGCCATAGATAGCAGCTCTAAAGAAGGATTCAAACCAGACAAGCTACAAGGAAAGATTGAATTCAAGAATGTCCATTTTAGCTACCCTTCCAGACCAGACACTCAAGTAAGGTTTTTTTCCTCCTTTCATCTTCTAGAGGGGCAGCTGTTTGTATGAAGGGAGTGTTATGGTCCCATTCTGTGTAATGAAAGGGAAAGTGCTGATAGTTTTAATGACCAATTTTTTTCAAGATATTTTCCTTTCAAATATTGTTGGTGATATAAATAAATATTTGCATCTGGTTAAGAATATATAGGCTGAGTTCAGATTGGCAGTTTGAAGCGGGAGGATGTCATGGCAAAAAAGAGCCGGAACAAACTGTTCCGGGTTTTCCTGGGCACACTGTGCTAACTGATGCGGGAGCATACTGGGAGGAGGTGCGAGGGAGCGTTCACACTGTTGAGCTGCTCCTGGTGGAGGTGCGGCTGTAAGCGGCTGTTTTTCACTCCGGTGACATGCTGCATGGGCGCATGAGCAATTGGGGTGGGATCCTGTTGCACCTGCCCCCATCCTGCATTGGGTAGTAGAGCAGTGCACATCCAGTCACATCACTGCTGCTTCTCCAGGGCAATCAAGTGCACCTTATGCACATCCCTGCAGGAACAGCCAGTTCACATTATCAACGTGGCTGTTCCCGGCTTTTCACAGCTAGCATTCACACTTTCAGGAAGTGGAATGAAGCGGGATAAACGGGCTCTCCAGGGTTTGCTACCACTTTCACCAGGTATCTTTTAAAATCGGGAGCGAAGCGTTACAAGACGGGTTGAGTACGGGTGGGGAAAGCCAGGCAGATGTGCCTGTGTGAATGGCCCCTTTAATCCGCTTGTGAAACGTTCCTCACAGATGCCTATATCGGGGCAAACTGCCAGTTTGAACTTGGCCATAATGTCTTGAATGTGTAAAGCTGCCTTGTATATTGAGTCAGAACTTTGGCCTGTCAAGGTCAGTATTGCCTACTCTGACTGGCAACTGCTCTCCAGGATCTGTGGCAGAGCTCTTTCATATCACCTCCTAACTGATTCTTTTAACTGGAAATGCCAGGGATTGAACCTGGAACCTTCTGGAGGCAAAACAGATGCTCTGCCTCTGAGCTACAGCCTCTGATAAAATGCAGTAGTTATTTCTGTGCATTTTAGGGTGTCATTGATTGTCTATACCATACTCCAGTAAGCTCACTTCTTGAAACAGTTTACCAATGTAGTTTGTCATCATCATAATTTTATGTAATTATTAATGGTGGCTCACGCCACTCATGCAAGCTGAATAACCAGCCCTCCCATAGACAAGGCAGCAGTTTCTACATACACGGAGGACTCCTCAGAAATTTGTAAATTACTTTGTAACTTTGCAAAGAAAAAGCCAACTGAGTATTAAGTTTGCTCTAGAAGATATAAAATCTTGTAAGCAATTTACAGTCAATTTTTTAAAAACACACAAACAGAAAAATGTGAAGAAATTTGCTTCTCAAGCTCCTGACAACTTATGGAATTTTGTAAGGACAGACTTGAGCAGAGGCTGAGGGATGTTTCTGGATAATTTATATATACCTCCATGATTATTTGTTCCCATATAATATCAAATATCAAATGAGCAGAGGCTAAGGGATGTTTCTGGATAATTTATATATACCTCCATGATTATTTGTTCCCATATAATATCAAATGTGGTTGCCCCATGCCAATCAATATAACAGTGAAAATTGATTATCTACCAACAATGTTGAGTGAGTGTATAGACCCCCTTATGCAGAAAAATATGGTTTTGTTAAAACAAGAAAAAAAGGAAATAAAAGTAAAATGCTCTGATAGTAACTGGACTTTAGAAACTGTGAAATGCTCTCACAGCAATGAAAAGAGGAGGTATACAATTTGCAGTTGAAAGTGAGAGCTGGTTTGAAAAACTCCAGCTAATGGTTCAAAATTGTGAAAGGCTTTGTGAGAGAAAAAGGGTGCATACAGACTGAATCACTGACTGATATCTGAGCCTGAAAGGAACCTGCAGCTGCAAAGTGATATAAAACAGGCAATGGTCTATAGAGAAGAATGAAAAATTATACAAAGAAAAAGAGACTGAGAGAAACCAAAGTTTTAGAAAGGACAAAAATTGAAAATGTTTAATGTTTTGGTTTCTGGAAAAAGAAGTAAGACAGTGGCAGTTAGTAAACCACAGATACTGTATCCAAATTTGGAGAATGGCAGTTATTTAAAGTTAGAAAAGATATTATATGAAATCAAGGAGTAATGAAGGATTTCAAAGTAAGTGCAGAAACAGAAATGGTGTTGGGGATTTGTTCAGTCATGTCTGTGTTGATGGAAAGGAACATGTAGCAATGCAGAAAATGTATCTGATAAATTTAATGAAGGGGGGGGGAAAGAACTGTATTTAAAGAAAATATTCACATATATTCCAGAAACAGCAACAGATAGTACAAAGGGAGGAGAAACAGCATCTATTTTAAATTAAGCCTCTGGCCAATAATAATAGTCCAATCAAAATTAATATAAAAGGGTGTGAAAGTAATTTTTGTGGCTGGGGAGTTCATGAATGATTCAAAAACAGATTTAAAGATATTTGAAAGTTTATTGTAAAATGCAGAAAAACATCAATGACATTGAAAATTAATATAGCAAAGGGAAGAAGGGGGGGAAAACACTGCAAAAACAAAGCAAAAAAAGAGATGGGGGAATCTTTAGGCATAGTCCATAAACAAAAAACAGGGCAGAAGCAAAGGCAGTCATGAAGGCTGGAAGGGGTCAATATCACTTCAGGCTACGACATGAGGCAGCAACTGTCCAAAGTAGAGGGATATAAAGATGTGTGAGGAAAAAATAAAACTGAAGTGAGAGGAAAGGGCAAGGAAGGTTTTAATAATAAACTGTTCCATCTTACATAGAGTAAAGATATAACTATATGATATCTCCAGCTACAAAACTTTTGTTGACTAAAGGAAAGTAGGTGGAACAGAACTCTTTAAAAGCTGGGAAAGTGCCAAAAGCAAAGAAGATTCCAAGGTATTACCATATAAGGTTTAGCACATTACCAGAGGAAAAACATGGAAAGCGTTTTAAGAAAGCATTTAAAAAGAAGTTAGATACCTTTCCAAAAAAAGGAAGAAAATCTGAAGAAGTGTGTGTTTATCAAGCAGACATAAGAAACAAAAATGTAGAGAACAGTGTGGCAGATTTAATTGTTGCTGCTGAGTTCAATATGCCTTTACACATTGAAGAAAACCAGAGCACTTGACCGCCAAACACATCGTCAGTTTTTTATATAGGCAAGTTGATACCCAAGTGTCGATATTTCTCAGCAAAACATTTCAGACACGAGAAAAGTGATAGTTACAAAATATACTGTTAATGGTAGAAAGGTCCCTGAACTTTTTAAAAAAGGAAATCTCTTTTAAAAATGCATGGATTTTACCACAGCCTATTTGCCTGTATAACAGCATACTTCCTTCCAGTCCAACATCATACATATTGTTTTTGAATGCACAGAGTAGTGTATCATAAAATAACAAACCTATATCCCAAGGAACAGTCTGTGACAGTCTGATCATTGTTTAAAATAAAAAGGCTAATTTAATTTAATAGCCTTTTCTAAAAAGAGAAGAATAGAGCCTAAGTAGAGGAAGTATAGAAGATTATGGGAACAAACTGTCTTTACATATTTCATTTCATGCTAATATGGTCAGCCCCATTCATGTAAAGAGATGGCAAAAGTTGTACTGATTAAAAAATGATTGTGAATCATTCCAGATTCTCAAAGGTCTGAATCTAAAAATCCAGCCAGGGAAAACTATTGCTTTTGTTGGCTCCAGTGGCTGTGGGAAAAGCACTACAATTCAGCTATTGCAGAGATTCTATGACCCAAATGAAGGAAAGGTATGTTTTGATTGAATGGCTGCTATTCATGTTCTGATTTTCCTGTGTAAGGGACTTCTCCATACATTTCACTAAATAGAGGCAGCTTATTCTGCCTCTATATTTTACTGCTGTAGTACCCATCCTCATCTTTTCCATCCACTGTATTTCGTGGCAGTAGATTGCTCATCCTACCACATTGTAACCCCATCCTTTTCCCAGCAAGATCAAGGCAGCACACATAGATCTCCCTTCATTCATTTTGTCCTTGCAAAAACCCTGAAAAGTATGTTGGGCGGAAGGAGGGTGACTGGCCCAAGGTTACCCCATGAACTTGATAGCTGTGTAGAGACCAGGTCACCCTCTAGCAACTGCTAGGATGTGTAATACCTGGTTGTCACAGATCACACTTTAAAATCTTCTAAGTGCCGTGTAAACAGGTAATAGACTGTGAAGGGTTAATTCCTCACAGAGCCAAAGAGCCTCAGTGACGGGCTGCTCCAAGAGATCTGATTGTTTAGAATCAGTAGAGCAGAGAAAGACTTCTGAACTGGATGCTGAGGAGAATTCAGTATGAATTCATCCGTGACTGAGAACAGTTTAACACAGACAAAGTACTGGGGAGGTTGGCAAGAGGAGAGGGGGTAGATCAGAGAAGACTCTCATTCAGGCCAGAAAAAGGGATAGATCTTTTAGTGAGAGAAGGAATTCCCTACCCAGTTGAAAAAGGGAGATAGCTCTGAGGAGTGGAGTGATCCCTGGTCAGATGCGTTTAGAAACTGCCTTTTAAATCCTGAAGAGTCAGTAAAAAAAAATAAAAACCTCAAGAAGAGTACCGGTGCATTGCTTTGTATTGGTGCAGATCAGCTTTTGGATAAATAAAATTCCCAGTTTAACCCATAACCTGTGTTGTGTTGTGTTTCATTCAAGGGGTGGGCGGGCAAACAACCCTCAAGAAGAGTATCGGTGCATTTAGTGACGGCGCTTGGGTACTGGATAGAGTATCCCTGCCTTCTGGAAACCAAAAGAGTAAAATACACTCAAGAAAGTATATTGGAGTATTTGGGAAACACTAAAAAAAAAGCCTCTCTAAGATTCTAAGTCACTGTGAAAAGCTTTAAAAACTCTCAGTTGCTTAAAGAGCCAGTTTGGTGTGGTAGTTAAGTGTGCCAACTCTAGTCTGGGAGAACCGGGTTTGATTCCCCACTCCTCCACTCACAGCTGCTGGATGATCTTGGGCAAGCCATAGTTCTAGAACAGCTGTTCTTGAAAAAGAGCAGTTTCTGTCAGAGCTCTCTCAGCCCCACCTACCTCACAGGGTGTCTGTTGTGGGGAGGAGAAAGGAAAGGAGTTTGTAAGCTGCTGTGAGACTCTGAGTGAAGGGCAGGGTATAAATCCAATCTCCTCCTCACATATGAACTGTAGTCTGTGCCTGGTATTAATTTACCTCAAAGTTCTTTGTTGATTTACCTCAGACTTTTTACCCCCTGATTTTACCTGACCTTTTCCTTCTACTTTGAATCAAATATGTTGTTATTTTTGAACTTTAAAAAGCCTCTTGAGTGCCATTTCTTTAGTTTAAATTAAAGAGGGAGACTTTGTCCCTTCCCTCAGGTTCCTGGTCTGAGCCAGCAACAAAATATTATACTGTGACAGGGAGGGACAGCCATTGTTCTTTAGAAAAGAAGAGAATAGATAAATAAGGATGCTCAGTCAAAAAGGGAGAGAAACACTGAGGGAAAATCTTGCCTCAGAGGGAGAGAAGTGTATAATACCGTTATGCGCACTACCCAGTATCTGAGTTTATGCCATTCTTTTACCCATTTTCAGTTCTTTCACTCATTGGCAAGCAGTCTTAGTACATTTTTCCTACTTCTAGTCAGTTAGCAGGCGAATTATTTCAACAGATTATTAATAGCTAAATGCCAAAGTTCATTAATAAAAACACCCCTTTCATTTGTTGTCATTCAGTGGCCATGCAAAGTTGAGTGATACCGTTGGACAGTACAGCAAGATTCATGTCCAAAGTGTACAGGAGTGTTAAATGTCAGAGCTGCTTTTCAGATTCCAAAGTAATAGAAACAGAGGAAGATATATTACTTGTGCATCCTTTCCCCCATATCAAGCAGTGAGGTGCACAATGCACATATTCCCATGTTGTGGATTCTAAGTTCAAATCACAGTTTAGGGTGTTATGACATAATAGTCCTAAGGGTTTGCTTTTTGATTTAAGCGTAAATTTGTGAACATGCATTTTTTTCACTGTTCTGCCTGACTTGCATTTTTCAGCCTTGAGAAGAATAATGTATGACTCAATGGCTTTATGCCCAGAATAAATCCTAGAACAATAGAACAGAGTTTGTAACAGTTATTCTTTGAGATTCTCAGAGGTATCTAACATCACACCTTTAGAGAAAACAAATTAGATGTTTTAATACAGTCATGTAAGGCTCACATAATAATATCTATATAAGATAGCCACGCCCTACCCCCCCCAATCTCTCAGATCCTAGTTGTAGTGAGGCTACGTGATCTTTTCTTAAAAGGATTGGTACCAATTTAAGGAACTGCATTTTATCTCTAAATGCTAACTAAACAGGCAAAGCAATGACATGAATTCTTTTTTTATTTATAATTTTATTTACATATGCTAGTGTTTTCTTTATAATTGTACTTCTTTATTTAATCTGTTCAAGGATAATTAAAGTGATTTTTAAAAAATAATGTTCTTAAGAGAGTGATCATTGGCTGGGATACAAAGTTTTCACCAAGACCTGGAATAAGTAAATTTCTCACTTCTCTTCAGTCAGAAGACTAGTATCCGTACTGAATGGTCATTGAAGAGATTGGAGGGGGTTCTCATTGCTGTTTCGGCAAGTGTAAAGGAGCAGGGTATTAAAAATGTGGACAGAATGGAGCACATGCAGAGGAGAGCGACGAGGATGATCGGGGGCCAGGAGACCAAGCCCTATGAGGAAAGACTGAAGGACATGGGAATGTTTAATCTGGAGAAGAGGGGGTTGAGGGAGGAGATTATTGCTCTCTTTGTATTTGAAGGGCTGTCACTTAGAGGAGGGCAGGGAGCTGTTCCTGTTGGCAGCAGATGATAGGACTCACAATAATGGGTTTAAATTAAGGGCAGGAAGGTACTGGCTGGATCTTAGGAAAAACTTCTTTACAGTAAGACTTGTTCAACAGTGGAACCAGCTGCCTAGGGTGGTGGTGAGCTCCCCCTCACTGGCAGTCTTTAAGCAGCGTCTGGACAAACACTTGTCAGTAGCCGGGCCTTCTGACACACTTCCGGTGATGTCAGGGGGTGTGGCCTTCTGTCACTTCCGGTGATGTCAGGGGGCGTGGCATATGCAAATAAGTTATGCTAATGAGTTATGCTAATGAGCTCCGGCAGCTCTTTTTCTACAACAAGACCCCTGATTCTAAGTATCATTGAGAGGGGGAGAATGGGAATGAGAAGCCCAAATTAATGTATCAAAAAGCATTCTCCACAGCATATTCTAGGATTTCAATATTATACTATGGACTATGGATTATTATTATTATGGACAAACCTCACTGAAATCTGTGGATTTCTAGAAGATACAACTGCTGTCATTGCAGCTTAGATATATGTAGATGTATGTTGCAATTAAAATTTACGTCCAAGGCCAGTGCTTGAGTGGGGAAAATACTTGTGTTGCATTTTGCTAGGCGAAGCTGAGGAGTGGGAGGTGTTCAAAAATGTAGCTGTTTTCTCCTTATGCAATGCTACTCTTAGTTTTAAATGTCTGTTTTCACTGGGGGGGGGATGAGAAAATAGTAGCCTGAATAATCCCTTAACAGATATTTATTTAAACCGTCTATTTAGCAATTTCATTTTCCAGTATATTATTCACTGCTAAATCTGTAAATCTAATAGCTACCTTCTGCTTTATCTCATTTATAAATTCTTACATTTTTTTTTAAGATTACTATAGATAGACATGATATCCGGACACTTAATATCAAGTGGATGAGAGAGAACATTGGCATTGTAAGTCAGGAGCCCACTTTGTTTGCCACCACAATAGCTGGCAATATTCGCTATGGCAGAGAGGATGTAACAGATGCTGAAATTGCGGAAGCCGCCAAAGAAGCTAATGCTTATGACTTCATATCAAAACTTCCTGATGTGAGTACCTGAGCACTCAGATTCTCTTTTATGATCCCAGTATTTTCGCTACTTACAATATCTCTCTTTTCAAGTATCATACAGTTGAAGTGCCAGGTGGTCAGCCATGTTGGTCTGAAGAAGTAGGACAAATTTAGAGTCCACTGGCACCTTATTTGAAAAAGTGTGCATGCACACAAAAGCTCTTCTCTTGAATAAACCTTTGTTGGTCTTAAAGGTGCCACTGGACTCTAAATTTGTTATACAGTTTAAGTGTGTGGCAAAAAATTGTTGTGGGAAAATCTAAATATTGGCCCCGATCACACATGCCGGAAAACGTGGGGGGAGGCGTGGCTATTTGCGACGCCGCAATTAGCCATGTGACAACGCAATCAGATGCATCGGTGGCAACCCACAGTTCCGGCCCTCAGCGTGTGCGCAGCAACAAAGATGGCCGGAGAGAAAAGCCGCGCAAGCGTGATCACACCAAGGGAGTCCAGAGGCAGCCGTGGAAAACTGTTTGCTACTACCTTCAAGGAGGTATTTTTTTATCACACATTTTCAGTGGCATGCCACAGGTTGGTCACGGATGCACTCAACTTGCCAGATGTTGTGGTGTGATTGCACCCGGAAAATTCACCATCCAATCGTGGCTCTCCCGCGGCAAATTCGCTGTGTGAACGAGGCCATTATTTGGCTAATCCTTCAGAAATAGCACAGAGGGTGATTCTTTTGTTAGATTTATTTATATTTATTTTATTTAAAACATTTTTATAGTGCCTTTCCACCTGATCATGGTCCACAAGGTGGCAAACATTAAAAACATTAAAACATTTAACAATTAAAAATACAGTTAAAATTATGAAAAATCAATTAAAAATGCAAATAAACAACACTAGGAGGGCCAGTAACTCGTATTGGGTGTATGCCAAACAAAACGAAAAGGTCTTCACCTGCTGGCAAAAGGGAGGGAGGCAGATGAATCTACCTTGGGAGAAAGTTCAAAAGTTTTGGTGCCACAATCAAGAAGGACCTTTCTTAGGTTTCCACGTGTCTAGCTTCAGATGCCAGGAACACTTGCCAGATGTTGTGGTGTGATTGCACCCGGAAAATTCACCATCCAATCGTGGCTCTCCCGCGGCAAATTCGCTGTGTGAACGAGGCCATTATTTGGCTAATCCTTCAGAAATAGCACAGAGGGTGATTCTTTTGTTAGATTTATTTATATTTATTTTATTTAAAACATTTTTATAGTGCCTTTCCACCTGATCATGGTCCACAAGGTGGCAAACATTAAAAAAAATAAAACATTTAACAATTAAAAATACAGTTAAAATTATGAAAAATCAATTAAAAATGCAAATAAACAACATTAGGAGGGCCAGTAACTCGTATTGGGTGTATGCCAAACAAAACGAAAAGGTCTTCACCTGCTGGCAAAAGGGAGGGAGGCAGATGAATCTACCTTGGGAGAAAGTTCAAAAGTTTTGGTGCCACAATCAAGAAGGACCTTTCTTAGGTTTCCACGTGTCTAGCTTCAGATGCCAGGAACAACTGAACCTAAGGCGTCCAAAGATGATCAAAGTATATGGGTAGGTTCATATGGGAACAGGCAGTCCTTAAGGTAATTTAGGATGTTTGTGGCTGTAATGTATTCAGATGCTGCCCTGAATGCATGAGGATGAAGTGTGAATCATCCCATAGAGAAGCTATGCTAAGCTTCAGTGAAGTGAGTTAAGGTCCAAGAATAGTCTGAAACAGAATCTATGATCTGTCTCTCTTGTAAGACAGTAACATAGACACAGCAAAGCATTATGGTCCAAATTCTGGAATGATCTTCTACTATGTAACTGATTTAAATATGTTTTCTTTGAGAAATACCTAATCTTCCTCAGCAAAAAATGCCTTCTCTGAGTACCTGAGCATTCAGGTTCTCTGTTCTGAAGGAAGTCTGTGCAGAAACATACAGAAAACATCAAGAGTCAAATGTGACTAGCTAAGTACAATAAAACAATGTAATAGCTAACTACAGTGAAACAATGTAATCTGTGTTTACCCCAATCAATGAATCTTCGTTCGTACTAGCATATGACATTGTGATCTTGCTTCCCACTCACCCACCCTCGGGAATACCTCCAGCTATTAGTTAAGCTGCCCTGATCAATTTGGGTGATCACTCCTATATTTGGAAGATAGAATATCCTGGTCTTAGAAAACAAAAACTCTGTCTTTTTGTGTTTGGCTGTAGCATGTTTCTAAAATGCCTGTTTGAAAATTAATAACTTTTCTAAAACAAATTGCAAATGTATCATGTGATTTGTATCTGATTTCTGTGCTCTGAATTTCTCAGAAATTCAACACCATGGTTGGTGAAAGGGGAGCCCAACTAAGCGGAGGGCAAAAACAACGCATTGCTATTGCCCGTGCTCTAGTCAGGAACCCCAAGATATTATTGCTGGATGAAGCTACCTCTGCTTTGGATACTCAGAGTGAATCCATAGTTCAAACTGCACTTGATAAGGTAGATATGTTTCTATAATCACATACTTTCAAAGCCTGGCTTCAGTAAGCCTTAAAAAGTGGACATTTGCAAGCCAGAGTGTGGGTAAATGCAACACATGCACACAAGCAAACAATTCAGAATACAGGGGTGGCTAGTTTACCATCAAACCTCATAAAATCAGAGGCAGTAACAGTATACATCCTCCATTTACTATTTAGTTCATGGCCTTGAATCCCTCTTGTGAGCTTCTGACTCAACCCTGAATGACTAGAGTTTGCCACAATGGAACCTGTATAGATGGTCCTCATTCCGAGTGCTTTATACAGAGCAACACTGATGATATTTGAAGAGGTGATTCACAGACTATTTATCCTGCAGTTGTCCTGTTAATGTCAATGGATCTTCTCAAAGCACATAGTCTGCAGTTCTCCCCTTTAATTGCTGCTCTTCCCCTATGAGTTAGGGGGTTTATTACCACATTTTATAAAGCGGGCCACTTAAGAGCCTAAGCTGAATGAATTTAACAGTGAATGAATTATCCATTGGAGTGATCTAATAAGCTAGGACCTTGGTGTAAGTGAGAATGTCAGAGCTGCTCATTCTGTTTTATTTTTTTCATTTTTCTAATGAAAACTAAGGCTTTTTATTTTAAGTCATTTTAAATTGAGCAAGTGAAAACACACTAAAGAAAAATATCACTCAAATCAACATCAACACAAAACAAGAACATGATAAACCAAGGAAAGCAGCAGGGCAGACCTGCCAGCCCTACACCTGCAAATCAGAGCAGCTTTTGGGGACAGAGGCTGAGGAGTGAGGAGCATCATAGATGCTGTGATGCCAGGGGATCAGCCAGAAATGATGCACACCCCATGACACTCTAGCAATTCCCCTAATCTCTGTGGTCTTTAGCAATTCCCCTAGCCTCTATGGTCTTTATAAATAAACATTGATAAGAACTTTGGCACCAGATGAAAGTAAGTCAGACCAGCATAGCAACAAAACAATACAATGAGTAGAAAGTTAAACACCAAATGGGTAAATAAAGTTTTTACGTAGTGCCTAAAACTTAATAGAAGAGGTCAGGGGTCGTTTCGTAGAAAAAGAGCTAGGGGAACTCATTAGCATAACTCATTAGCATATGCCACACCCCTGACATCACCGGAAGTGTGTCATGAGGCCACACCCCCTGACATCACCGGAAGTGTGTCATAAGGCCACACA